GGAATAAAAAAATTGTCACATTATATTACTACTAATTGTTTTTCTCTGTCACACCTGCTTTAAGTGCACTATATATATAAAAAAAAAAAAAATGTGTTTCTCACCTTCCACGGTGGTTGGTCTCTCACCCTCATTCAGCTCGGGTCGTCTACCAGAGGCCTGAGAGCCTGAGAGTTCTTCAGTATCTTTGCTGTTCCCAGTACTGCACTTTTCTGGACTGAGATGTTCCATTGTTTTTCCCGGTATCTGTTGAAGCCTCTTCCAGTTTGGGGGTTACAGCCCCGAGTGTCCGATCACCACAGGCACCACTGATGCCTTTACTTTCCAGGCTCTCTCCAGCTCTTCCTTGAGCCCCTGGTATTTCTCTAGCTTCTCGTGTTCCTTTTTCCTGATATTACCATCGCTTGGTATTGTGATGTCAACCACCACGGCTCTGCTCTGTTTCTTATCCACCACCACTATGTCTGGTTGGTCCATCTCCATCCTGTCAGTCTGTATCTGGAAGTCCCACAGGATCTTGGCTCGGTCGTTCTCCACAACCTTTGGAGGTGTTTCCCACCTTGATCCTGGGGTTTCCAGCCCGTACTCTGCACAGATGTTTCTGTACACTCTGCCCGCCACTTGGTTATGTTGCTCCATGTTTGCTTTCCCTGCAGCATTTTACACCTGCAGTTCTGTGCTGGACTGTCTCAGGAGCCTCTTTGCACAGTCTCCACCGTGGGTCTTGTCTGGTGTGGTAGATCTGGGCCTCTATTGCTCGAGTGCCCAGGGCCTGTTCCTGAGCAGCCAGGATCAGTGCCTCTGTGTGTCCTTCAGACCCTCTCAAGCCATTGGTAGGATTTCTTGATATCAGCCACTTCAGTTATGTTCCGGTGGTACGCCCCATGTAGGGGTTTGTCCTGCCATGATGGTCCCTCCAGCACCTCTTCCTCTGGACCCCACTGTCTGAGACATTCTCTGAGCACCTCATCTGTCGGGGCCTATATGTACCTATATATGTATATATATATATATATATATATATATATATATATATATATATATATATATATATATATATATATATATATATATATATATATATATATATATATATATATTTATATATATATATATAATTTCGAAATCCTTTGGCGAGCTTCTTGGAAAAGGGTGGAGAGCGACTGGTAGCTCCTGAGCTCCAGGTTGGGGACACCCTTTTTAACATCAGTAATGTCCTTATGACCCTTTTTTATCAGAGTTTTATTGTGTTTTGTATTGTCGGCTGGTTCTTTGTCCTCTCTGTGTCAAGTAGAAATCATTTGGCTCGATTGGTCAAAGTGGCAGGTGAAACTGTAAGTCCAACTGCAGGACGATTACAAGCAGAAGGGGGATTCAGAAGAACCGACAAATAATGGAGAACCCTGACCACGCGCTCTCTGAGGAGTTTAACCTCTTCACTGCAAAAACACTTGGCCAAAATTTAAGATATAAACACTTAAATCTATCTATCTGACACCACCTGGTGCCCAGTGTTGGGGAATAACAGATTTCATGTACCAGAGTTAAGTAATCAGAGTACAAATTATGAGTAACTGTATTCAGTTACAGTTACTGTTTCAGTGAGTGGTAATTGGATTACAGTTACTTTGTTGAAATAAATGGATTACACGGTGGTATTTTCCTGTTTTCATATTTTGGGCTATATCCCCCTTTTTTTTTCTTTCTTTTTTCCCACCTGGTAATTCCACTCATTCCCGGAAACTAAACCAGGTCTAAACTAGATCTCAACCAGGTCTAAACCAGGTCTAAACCAGGACTAAACTAGGACTAAAACCAGGACTAAACCAGGACTAAAACCAGGACTAAAACCAGGACCAAACCAGGACTAAACCAGATCTAAACCAGGTCTAAACCAGGTCTAAACCAGGTCTAAACCAGGTCTAAAACCATGTTTAAAACAGGATTTAACAGGACTAAATCCTGCTGTGTGGACCATGTCTCCTCGTCTTCTATCAATAATATTTTTAATTTGGTTCAGTAAAGTCTGGACTTTTTATTGTTTTTTTAGGAGATAAAACTTCTTATGTCATGATTTCCTCGTCTTTGCTTCGCTACAGCAAATCAAATAATCCAAAGTATTCAGATTACATTACTCACTTTAAGTAATTTAATGGATTACGTTACAAACTACATTCTGGTGTGTGTAATCTGTAATCTGTAGGGGAATACATTTTAAAAGTAAACTTCCCAACACTGCTAGTGCCTCCGCTCAATGTCATTTGTCTCCAGCGTCTAGATCAGGAATCAGAAAACACTTAGACAGTTTCGCATAAACCTCGAAAGTGCGAGTTCGTGCACCAGCCAATCAGCGAAGAGACAGACATTCTGTGTTGGCAACGATTCCCGAGATCGAGGATTGAGGAAAAAAAGAATGCAAACATAAATTAACACATGACAGTAACTCAAACCAAATAAGAGACACTAACTAAAATGAAAGAGGCATCAGCGACTGAATTCGGGGAGGAGGAAAACATCTAACTGTGAATGAAGTCTTTATAGAGGTTGGTTACTGAAGTGGCTTTTTTGCAGGATAAATGTTGGATCAATTGAAAATAATGATTTACTTCTATTAGTAGTAATGAAAAATAAGAGAATTTAGCTCTATGTATGTGATATTTGCCAAGAAGATAAAATAGATGAATTACTTTTTCAGTTTTTGTATTTTGATGTGTATACTGCATAATCAGAAGTTTACTTTTAAAATGTATTCCCCTACAGATTACAGATTACATAACCCAGAATGTAGTTTGTAACGTAATCCATGAAGTTATTTAAAGTGAGTAACGTAATCTGAATACTTTGGATTACTTGGTTTACTGTAGAGAAGCAAAGACAAGGATGGATTAGTCCTGGTTTAGACCTGATTTAGACCTGGTTTAGACCTGGTTTAGATCTAGTTTAGACCTGATTTTAGTCCTGGTTTAATCCTGGTTTAGGCCTGGTTTAGATCTAGTTTAGACCTGGTTTTAGTCCTGGTTTAGATCTAGTTTAGACCTGGTTTTAGTCCTGGTTTAGTCCTGGTTTAGACCTGGTTTAGACCTGGTTTAGATCTAGTTTAGACCTGGTTTTCGTCCTGGTTTAGTCCTGGTTTAGACCTGGTTTAGACCTGGTTTAGATCTACTTTAGATCTAGTTTAGACCTGGTTTAGATCTAGTTTAGACTTGGTTTTAGTCCTGGTTTAGTCCTGGTTTAGACCTGGTTTAGATCTAGTTTAGACTTGGTTTTAGTCCTGGTTTAGTCCTGGTTTAGACCTGGTTTAGATCTAGTTTAGACCTGGTTTTAGTCCTGGTTTAGTCCTGGTTTTGACCTGGTTTAGATCTAGTTTAGACCTGGTTTTAGTCCTGGTTTAGTCCTGGTTTAGATTTAGTTTCCCGCAATGAGTGGAATTACCGGGGAAAAAAAAAAAAAAAAGAGGGATATAGCCCAAAATGTGAAAACAGGAAAATACCGCCGTGTGATCCATTTATTTCAACAAAGTAACTGTAATCCAATTACCACTCACTGAAACAGTAACTGTAACTGAATACAGTTACTCATAATTTGTACTCTGATTACTTAACTCTGGTACATGTAATCTGTTACTCCCCAACACTGTGCATAATGATATTTTATTTTTTCAAGGTTATTGGGATGTGTAAATTCCGGAAGAGAAAAATGTCTAATTGTTTCCACAGTGGAGCACTTCCTGTATTACCACATGATGTCACAAGGTGGAACAGAGTGTTTTCTGGTTGAGAGAAAACTCTAAAACTCTAAATATGCAGGGTTTGTGTTTTAAACGTGTGTGAATGAAACAAAACACAATGCGAGGTCTGTTTGTGACGAGGAAACAACATTATAACTCAGATCTGAAAATAGCCTAATATGGGCCCTTTAATGGAAAAAAAGTTTAGTTTATAGCGCATTTTTAAGACACAAAACAAAACAAAAGAGAAAAAAATAGAAATCATCCATTACTAAAAAGTTGTGTTGTTATTATTAGAAATTCCGCTTTAATTTGCAGTGTTGGGAAGGTGACTTTTAAAATGTATTCCCCTACAGATTATAGATTACATATCCCAAAATGTAGTTTGTAACGTAATCCATTAAATTACTTAAAGTGAGTAATGTAATCTGAATACTTTGGATTATTTGACATTGTCATGCTTTTTAAAACTACATGAATGTAGCAACCACATCCTGAAAATTCTTTGTTTTCTTTGTTGTCTTCAAATTGGCCCTGGTTTAGACCTGGTTTAGTCCTGGTTTAGTCCTGGTTTAGACCTGGTTTAGTCCTGGTTTAGTCCTGGTTTAGACCTGGTTTAGTCCTGGTTTAGACCTGGTTTTAGTCCTGGTTTAGCCCAAAATGTGAAAACAGGAAAATACTGCCCTGTAATCCATTTATTTCAACAAAGTAACTGTAATCCAATTACCACTCACTGAAACAGTAACTGTAACTGAATACAGTTACTCATAATTTATACTCTGATTACGTAACTCTGGTACATGTAATCTGTTACTCCCCAACACTGTTAATTTGTGTAATAATTTACAATATTAATAGGCATGAAATTAATAAAATTTTAGTTTTTCAAAAAAAAAAAAGAAAAAAAAAGTATTGCTCTCTTTTCCCTATATTTATTTATTTGTTCAGTTTAATTATTACTTTATTTGTTCTTATTTTTATTATTTTATTTATTATTGTTGTATTAATATTATTAATATTAGTGTTTTGTTTTGTTTTTTTGTTGTTGTTTTTTTACAGTGGAGACTGGATATTACAGTGGAGATTGAAAATAATGATTTACTTCTATTAGTAGTAATGAAAAATAAGAGAATTTAGCTCTATGTATGTGATATTTGCCAAGAAGATAAAATAGATGAATTACTTTTTCAGTTTTTGTATTTTGATACAAAAAATACAAAAACTGTTACAAACACTGTTAATTTGTGTAATTTGGGGAACTCTGGGCGGCAGGAGTGGAGCTCGGTGCCGCTAGGAGTTGTGGGAAACTGAGTTCGTGGGCTCAAGGTGTGGCCTCGCGGAGTTTTCTGGCGCCTTATCAAATCACGGTCCATTTTTACGAGAGCATTCCTGTCTGCCTTTATTTGGGGAAAAAAACAGCCCAGATTTACGTTCCCGCTCCCGCTAAACCCACCCCGCTTTCCCGCGACACCTCTACGAAAACTCCGGATGCCCGTTCATCCCACTTTTCCGCGTTAGTTCCCAGTTTGTTGTTGTTTTCTCTCTCTGTTTTTTTTTTTTTTTTTTTTTTTAATCACATTTTTGCTTTGACCACTGACGTCTCCCTGATCCCGCCCACTCTTCCGTTCCAGCGCTGTGATTGGCTGCGGGCGGGGAATCCACCTCTGCGATTGGCTCAAAATCGCGTCGGTCACGTCGCCGTTTGTGACTCATGTGGGAGTTCCCGGAGCGGACGGCGATGCGAGAGAGAGGCTTTTTTTGCTCAAGCGGAATGAAGGTAAGACACAATTTAACCCATATTCCAATATTTCCACGCTCGGCCGCCGCTACGTGACGATTTCCCGACCGTTTACGTGACGAAAACGTGAACGCTTTGTTGACGCGACGCCGTACGTGACGTTACGCTTCTCAAAAATTCACTCTAAACTATTAATTTTTTATTATATCTCTTCAAATTGGAGCACGACCTTACCCAGATGTTTACGCTAAAAACTCTGTAAAATTAGCTGTTTACAGACGTTTCTACGACGTAATAAACCGCGCGTCATGTGTATAAACTGTATTTGGAGATGTGCATTTCCCGAGACGCTACTTGTGGAATAGAGGGCATTGTTCTAGTGTTTTTCCACGCCAAACCAACACTGTGTTTTCGTAATGGTTTTTTTTTCTTGCTTAAAATAACCGTATTTCTGTTTTATTCCAAACTCTTTTTGTCGTCATCTGGTCCTGGTGTTTAGGTCTTCTTCTTCTTCACTTGCTCCACATTTAGACGATTCCCCATCCGTCTCTGTTGCCATGGAGACCGGCCCAGCCCGCTCCATCCATCCATCCTCCTCTCCCTCTCCTTCCTTCCTTTTTTTTTTTTTTTTTTTTCTTCTTCTACGTCTATATTTATAGTGTGGCCAGAGCCGGAACGTTGGTTTAGACCTGGTTCATCTCAGAGTCCTGGTCTAGTTTTGTTTTTTCTTCAGATTTTGTTCTCACTTGAATTTTATTTTTATTTTCCGTTTTTATTTTGTACAATTTGTTATTGATAATTTACGCAAAACTTTCAAATTTAAAATAAATATAAGTGACAAATCTGAACCTTAGAACAGTTTTGCGACGTATAAAACATAAAATGACCACTGTTGGGCAACTGTAATGTGTTATTTATTTATGACGTGTTTCTGTCATTTTAAAGTGATTTGTTACTTTACAATATTACTGTGTTTAAAATGTAAAATATTACATGATTATTGCAGCACTTTTAATTTACTCTCAACAAAATAACTGTGAAGATGCTGAACTTTTGCGCCGTATATGGACTGAACCAGGACTGAACCAGGACTAAACTAGGACTAAACCAGAGCTGACCCAGAACTAAACCAGATCTAAACCAGGACTAAACCAGGTCTAAACTAGGACTGAACCTAGGACTAAACCAGGACTGAACCTAGGACTAAACCAGGACTAAACTAGGACTAAACCAGAGCTGAACCAGGACTAAACCAGGTCTAAACCAGGACTAAACCAGGTCTAAACTAGGACTGAACCTAGGACTAAACCAGGACTGAACCTAGGACTAAACCATGACTAAACTAGGACTAAACCAGAGCTGAACCAGGACTAAACCAGGTCTAAACCAGAGCTGAACCAGGTCTAAACCAGAACTAAACCAGGACTGAACCGAGGACTAAACCAGGACTGAACCAGGTCTAAATTCAGGTCTAAACCAGGTCTAAACCAGGTCTAAACCAGAGCTGAACCAGGACTGAACCAGAACTTAACCAGGACTAATCTTGGACTAGAACTTGAAATCTAGGATCACCCCTGGGAGAAGCCTGAGATTCCTCTGACTATAGAAACATGACTAAATTCAAGTCGTTATTCTTACAAACCTTTGACTAAATTGACATTATGATGAAGGATTATCTGAACAGAGCAAACTAAAAACTATAACAATGTAAAATACAATATAAAAAGTGATGAGATTGTTATATATATGCAATTTTAACAATACGTTACATTTACACAAAATAAAAAAGTCGTTCTCCATCAAAACATTCCTTAAAATACCTCAAAAGAAAGTGAAGATGTAGAAATATATAACAAAAGTAAAATGACATGAGAAATAATGATCAGATAAGTAACTACTAAAGAAAAAATAAGGGGAGTCAAAATCCTATAGGGAGATCACTTTACTGTAGTGGTATGTTCACCCCGGGGTCAATATAGTATAGAGTCAAAATACTATCTCACACTGGAAATAGGAAGTGCTCCACTGCGTTTTTAAACTTTATTCACCTTCACTAGGACTACGTTTACACTGAAATGAATCGCCATATGGACATACTGTGGAACATTCAAGACACATCTCCATGGAGACGAGCAGGAGACAAGATCCTCCAGGAGACGAGTTACAAATCGCACGTTGAATTTGTCTGTGGGTGAAACTTGTTTTTGTAAAGATGCACTGTGTAAGTTTTCTAGTTTGTGGGTTTGTCACGTTCTTGTTTCCATGGATACGTCATTGCTCGGCCTGAAATGTCCCACAGTGTGACTTTAAACAGCTCTACTTTATTACATTTATTCAATTACAAGCGTTTTTACAGCTCAAAAATGTCTTAAAAAACATGAATTCTGACAGTGAGTGAGGTCGCCTCTCCACAGATCTGACCTGTAATCTAGTTGGCAAGTCTCCACGGAGATTGGTAAATTTATGATCATACATTCTAGGCACATCTCCATGGAGACGAGCAGGAAATGTCCCACAGTGTGACATTAAACAGCTGTACTTTATTATATTTATCCAATTACAACTGTTTTTACAGCTCGAAAATACTATAGCAGAATGTTCACTCTGGGGTCAATGTACTATGGGGGTCAAAATATTATCTCACACCGGAAACATGCTCGCAAAGACACAAGTCTCAGCTTTTCAAGAGAAAAAAAAGTAAATTTTTATCTTTTATGGTTGGAAAGTTCTGCGCAGTTTTATAAAACATACTCCCAGGTACCGTATACGATACCATCGGCAGTGTTTGGAAGTTTACTTTTCAAATGTATTCCCCTACAGATTACAGATTACATATCCCAAAATGTAGTTTGTAACGGAATCCAATGAGTTAAAGTGAGTAATGTAATCTGAATACTTTGGATTACTTGATTTGCTGTAGAGAAACAAAGACGAGGAAATCTTCACATAAGAAGTTTTGTCTGATAAAAGAAAATAAAAAGTCCAGATTTTACTGAACCAAATTAAAAATATTATTGATAGAAGAAGAGACACGTCCACACAGCAGGATTTAGTCCTGTTAAATCCTGTTTGAGACATAGTTTAGACCTGGTTTTAGTCTGGGTTTAGTCTTGGTTTAGACCTGGTTTTAGACCTGGTTTAGTTCTGGTTTAGTCCTAGTTTAGTCCTGGTTTTAGACTTGGTTTTAGACTTGGTTTTAGACCTGGTTTAGTCCTAGTTTAGTCCTGGTTTTAGACCTGGTTTAGTCCTGGTTTAGTCCTAGTTAGACCTGGTTTGGACCTGGTTTAGACCTGGTTTTAGACGTGGTTTAGACCTGGTTTGGACCTGGTTTAGATCTGGTTTTAGTCCTGGTTTAGTCCAAGTTTAGACCTGGATTAGACCTGGTTTAGACCTGAGTCAGTTCTGGTTTAGACCTGGTTTTATTCCTAGTTTAGTCCTGGTTCATTTCTGGTTCAGTTCTGGTTTAGTCCATATACGGCGCAAAAATTCTGCATCTTCGCAGTTATTTTGTTGAGAGTAAATTAAAGTGCTGTAATAGTCGTGTAATACTTTTCATTTTAAACACAGTAATATTGTAAAGTAACAAATCACTTTAAAATGACAGAAACACGTCATAAATAAATAACACATAAGTCACTTGCCCAACAGTGTTCATTTTATGTTTTATACATCGCAAAACTGCTCTAAGGTTCAGATTTGTTGAAAGTTTTGCATAAATTATCAATAACAAAGTGTAATTTTGAGAGAGAAATGTTGAATAAATGCAGCGTGTGACTAAATAAATAATCATCTGAATAATTGTGATTTCAAAATGGACCAAAATAATCGTGATAATGACTTTTTCCATAATTTTCCACCACTAACTCCAGGTCTGTTTGTGACGAGGAAACAACATTAGAACAGATCAGAAAATAGGTTAATATGTGATGAAAATGAAGTCTTCTGCTTCTTCTGAACATTAACACTTCGCTATAATTGATTAAACTCACACGATGATGAAGATGGAGACTCATCGGGAGCACAGGGAGCAGAACTATTATTGACTATTTGACACTGAACAGCGACGTGGCCCAACCCTGCCCCGGACTGATCCAGAACCTTAACCAGGACTAACCCCGGATGAACCCGGAAAGAACGCCGAGTCTGAACTGTGCCCACACGAGGAATGAAGCGGGGCAAAACCAGAACAGAGCTGTGTTTAAAGAGCTATTTTCAGATCTGTGTTCTAATGTCGTTTCCTCGTCACAAACGGACCTGGAGCCGTGGGGTTTTTGTTTCATTCGCGCACTTTTGTTTAACGCACAAACCTGCAGATTTACGCTGAGTTCTTAACTGCCGATCTCAACTGAACTAAAGGTAAAAGGAGCCGTTCACTTTAATCTTTCCAGACCGACGGACAGTGTTGGGGAGTAACAGATTACATGTATGGCGTTAAGTAATCAGATTACAAATTATGAGTAACTGTATTCAGTTACAGTTACTGTTTCAGTGAGTGGTAATTGGATTACAGTTACTTTGTTGAAATAAATGGATTACATGGCGGTATTTTCCTGTTTTCACATTGGGGCTGTATCCTTTTTTTTTTTTTTTTTTTTTTTTTGTAATTCCACTCATTGACGGACACTAAACCAGGTCTAAACGAGGTCTAAAACCAGGTCTAAACCAAGACTAAACCAGGTCTAAACAGGTCTAAACCAGGTCTAAAACCAGGTCTAAACCAAGACTAAACCAGGTCTAAACCAGGTCTAAACCAGGTCTAAAACCAGGTCTAAACCAAGACTAAACCAGGTCTAAACCAGGTCTAAAACCAGGTCTAAACCAAGACTAAACCAGGTCTAAACCAGGTCTAAACCAGGTCTAAAACCAGGTCTAAACCAGGACTAAACCAGGTCTAAACCAGGACTAAACTAGGAATAAAACCAGGACTAAACCAGGTCTAAACCAGGACTAAACCAGGTCTAAACCAGGTCTAAACCAGGACTAAACTAGGAATAAAACCAGGACTAAACCAGGTCTAAACCAGGACTAAACCAGGACTA